TTATTAGGTACACCTGTCCAACTGCTTGTTGACACAAATTTCTAATCAGCCAATCACATGGCAGCAACTCAGTGCATTTAGGCATAAAGACATGGTCAAGACATGGCATGGTTGTTGGTGCCTGACAGGCTGGTCTGAGTATTTCAGAAACTGCTGATCTACTGGGACTTTCATGCACAACCATCTCTAGGGTTTACAGAGAATGATCCACTTTTGATCATTTTAATCAATACTTAACTTGTAAATGAATAATTTCCAGAACAAAACCAGGAAATAAAAGTTACTGTGACTGACATCCATCACACAGTTTTCCCAGAACATGGCATCATTAAACGGTGATAACTCAAAAAAGAGCATCACATTTTTAAAGGTCTCTTATTATTTTCTGCCATGGGTCAATCATAAACAAAAACAAATAAATATACAAACATAAATCTAATTCTAACCAATGTGCCAATTTGATGCTCCAGATGTTGTTGTTTTTTATCAACTTTGAAAATGATTCTGCTGCTTAACGTTTTTTTTTGTAATTTCTGTTGTAAATTTTGTGTTAAGTTTAAACAAACAAATTCAATTTAGTGATGTTCAACCTAATTTGATGTAGCACAGTGCTCATTCAGTAAAGGCACAGCTAAACAGATGTGTTTTCAGTCTGGATTTGAGTGTACCTAATGTTGGAGGCAAATGAGGCAAATAACTACAAAAGTCCACTTTTTGAGAATAAAATAACCACCCCCTGGCTACAGGCCTGTATATTACACCTCAGTTTCTTCTGTCTCCAAGTTATACTCTGATTTTGCTGCATTCTTCAATATTTCTTCCAAAATATTATATACAATACTGGAAAAAGCATCTAGGTTTCCCTTATGATTCATTGCTTATTCTTTTTGAAGTGTCTTATTATAAAATCGTATAAACGAATGCTCTTACATAACCTAAACATCATCACATGCAGTCTAAATGTCTGAGAACACACTGAAAATCTTTTACATGTGATATTAAATTAAGACAATTCAAAAGACAAGCAGTTTCTCTAGTGCTCACAAATGTTTGGATGCTCTGTATGTTACTTGCGTAGGCGTGTGTGTGTGTGTGTGTTTGTGCGCGTACGCGTGTGTTTGTGCGCTGGGAAATAAGAGCAATGAAAAGAAATGAGCTTTCCTGCTCCATTTCTTTTTCTGTCCATTTTTCTTTACCCGACCACAAAATGAATCTGCTGTTCGGCTCTGAAGAAAAAAGGAAAATAAAATAAACTTTTAGTGGCGAAGGAGAAACAGGCTGGTCGGTGGGAGGAGGAAAGAGGAATGGATAAAGATATGCATTAGTCAGAGGACGGGAGAGCAGGAGAAGCCCATGAATCTCAATCTAACTTTATTCAGCGGGGACCGGGGAAAGAGCAAGCCAACAAGGTCATCTGAGACAGTGTGACGCAACTATTACACAAGCCTGCCAGCCTCTCTGTGATTGGCCATCTCACACTTTGATCACTGTCAAGGGGTTTTATTTTTCTCGCAGTCTTGATTTCTCTTCAACCTTAACTTTCAAAAGTTCCAAAATAAAAGTATACCAAGCTTTCTGATCCGTGCCGCAGGTGTCAACATTCATTGTATATGAAGGATTTTCATTATAGAGCGCTTGTCAAAAGAAATGATGCTGATAAAGTGGGAATTTACTGTGGGTCTTCGGAATTTTCTAAGTTCATTAGTTGTGCATTGTTAGTGCAAGTATCTGAACTTTTTGAAGTGTTTTTACTTTTTTAAACTTTAATTTACTTCATTGCCAAACTTTATATTGCACCTTTCAGTCTATAAACAGCATACATTTTCTGTTTGTTTTATAACTGAGAACTTGCCTTGAACATAATATGACTTGATTATATTTGATTCACTTTAGAGCTGCACGATTCTGGCTAAAATGAGAATCGCAATTTTTTTTGCTTAAAATAAAGATCAAGATTTTCTCTTGATTCTGTAGATGTAAAATAAAGCTTATGGGATTATTGTTTTTTCTCAAACATATGGTAAAACAACTAAATTAATATTATGTGTAGGTCTACTTGTTTCTATAAATAATTCTATTCTACCTATAATAATTCTGATGTTGAATTATGTTTGAGATATATGCTCACAATTTGTCATTGACAACATTTTTAGACCAATTAATTCACTGGTAAAATCAACATTATATAGGCTAGAGTAGTTATACTGACACTGTAAACCTTTATTTTCATGCATAACTGTGTGTTGGCTATGAAAGAAAAAAACGTAGCAAATGCTTGTCGCAAATGCTTGTTGTGATACGATTATGTAAATGATGCGCAGCTCTTAAACGATCGCTCTGTGCCACAAATTGAATATTATTAATAACTTTATTATGGGTTACTCACAGCATATGCAGGTTCTGTTCACTAAAGTAGACACGCGCACGTTTATCATTAAGTAGGGTGCGTGCCCGCACAGTCAGCATCTCACGTCACGTGTGATTTCCCGGCCACGAATACAGCATTAAATGAAGACAACAATTACATTATTAGCTGAATAATACCTTATAAATACAGTATGTGACTCTTTTAACATCATTTGGAGGCGTCCATGTCGCTGAGCAATGTGTGTAAAACAATGAAAAGACTCGTGCAGCCGCCTTTGCTTCTCTCGGAACTTGAAAATATGATTGACAGAATCGTAGAAATGCTGGATTAAGATAGTCTAGGTGGTCGAATCCAGATCGAATTGATCTTTTTTCGATAAATTGTGCAGCTCTAATTCACTTGTTAAATAGGTTTGAAATTTGCACTTAAGATATTGTAATTAAAAAACAAGTCACTGATTCAAATGATCTGGTCAGAGTGAATGTCAAGTTGACTATTCACTGACTCAAATGATCCAGTCAGAGTAAGTCTCCAGTTATCGATTCACTGACTCAAATGATCCAGTTAGAGTGTGTCTAGTTAACGATTCAATGACTCAATTGATCCAGTCAGATTAAGTCTCCAGTTAACGATTTACTGACTCAAATGGTCCAGTCAGAGTAAGTGTCCAGTCAACGATTCACTGACTCTAATGATCAAGTCAGAGTAAGTCTCTAGTTAGCGATTCACTGACTCAAATGATCCAGTCAGAGTAAATGTTCAGTTAAAGATTCACTGACTCAAATGATCTAGTCAGAGTGAGCGTCCAGTTAACGATTCACTGACTGAAATGATAACTTATTTATTTACATTAATTCAGAATCAGATGATTCTGTCAGAGCAAGTCTTTGTGCAATAACTCATTGATTCAAATTATCCATTCAGAGTGAATCTCGAGTAAACAATACACTGATTCAAATGAAAGGAACAAATCTATAAAAGCCAAAACCAAACATTTGAGAAGACGTGTACACAAAAGCATTGTAATTGTCTAAGACAACACTATCTTTTTGTGCTAATTTTCTTTGTAATTAGTACAAATGTGTGAATTGATCATCACATTTGGACTTTTTAAACTTTCCCTATAATCTTTTATCTATCCCTCCCCAGATAGTCAAATTCATGTGGCTCAAATCCAGCCCACATCAAACACTTACATCTGGCCCACATACCGCATGGAGTGATAGCACTTGAGCGGTACGTATCTGTTTGCCAGATCTGGGCCACAATTAACCAATAGCAATACCATATATCAGCCAGAATTCAACCAAATACACCAGGACTGACTCTATTCTGTGCCACAGTTTGCTTTTATTTTAACATAGATCCGGCCCACACTATACACTTACATCTGGCCCACATAGCCAGAGCTTACTGTGCTGAATATTTGCCAGATGTGGCCCACATATGTTTTAAGATAACTGGGCCACATTTGTCATATCACATCTGGGCCACTTTAGACTCACAGCCACATTACCTGGAGCTTACTGTGCTAAATATTTGGCAAAAAAATGGGCCACATATGTTTTATAATAACTGGGCCACATTGGTATATGTGAGCCACTTTGGGTTTAGAACCAGGTTACCTTTAAATGATTATGACACAATTTTGCCAACTGTGTCCCACAGTCGTCCTCTGTCATTTGGGCCAAATTTACCATTTTCCACATTGGCCACATTAGGTTCACATTTGGGTTACATTTTGCCATAAGTGTTAAATCTTTGCCTTAAATGTCCCATGTATGAATTGGAATCTTTGGCCCCCTTTTGCCATTGTACAGTTGGGCCACTTCAGGCTCACGTTCATTTCGTCTGGGTTGAAAGATGACCACCAGTGCCGCATAACTGCCTAAAGTGGTCCACATTTGTATGCTATCTGGGTCTCTTTCCACAGTCTCCCTGACAGTTTATCAACAGTTTGTACTGCTTGTTTCCTGAAGCAAAATGACAACACCCTAGAAAGCTTTTCACAAGACATCGAAAACAATCACCAGGGTATAATTTATCTGTGAAAGACAGTCCAGCCCTTTGGACAATCCAGCCTTGGTTGGACAAGTCCTGACTGGACGATACAATAAATGCTTTCGGCGCCAGAACATTCTGTGCTGAAATCAGAGCTTTGAGTTAAAGACCAGCGATAACCCGCAGGTTCAGAACAGAAGTAGACCATCAGACTGAAGCATACACACATTTAACCCTGACCCCAATGTCCTGTGGATCATCCCTGCAAAACTAACAGAAAGTACTGTACATTTGACTCTTCTGTCTCCGCCTGCAGTTGCCGTGTGTTTTCATTCCATTCCATCCCTTTCATTGTGTGTTTTCAGCGCACAAATGTAGATTCAGCATAATAGCGCTGCTTTATGCATATCTGTTAGCATATATATCTAGCAATATATTTCATTTTCCTCCTGTAGCATACCTTATTTGCAGTGTCTACAGCAAATGAGATGGAAACTGAATGCTAAGTGTCTCTTCTGCAGCCTATTTATTGTATTTTTCCTTTGGTTATCATTTATCAAGCTTGCTCGCTCTCATTAGGCCGTAACTAGAGGACTAAATCATTTGTCTGTGTAAATGTGAGATGTCCTACCCACACACATGCAGAGATCTGATTGGTTCTCCCACTTCCTCTGGTATCCAATCAGAAGTCCTTTGAGAAAATCTGCAAACACACACACATAAGAGAGTTGAGCCATATGTTCAAAGCCCAGTTTATTTCTAAAAATAGATATATAAATTTCAGAGTTTTTCAGTTTTGACTGCATTGAACTTGCCAGTCATTCTTTATAAAACAGGTATATTTTCTGCAATCAAAAATCAGAACATATTTAATATTAAGGATCTGTTTATAATATTTTAAAAGTCACATTTTCATAATGCAGTCATTTAGATAACTTCAGCATGAACCTCTTGATATCTATAAAGTACATTTTTTGTTTTTTATTCAATTGTAAAATATGGCTAGCTGAGAAACAAGCAATATTTTATTACTTATTGCAATATTTTATTACTTATTGGTTCATAACTCGTTTGTTTATTTATTTATTGTAAATAGTATTTATTGATTCATAAGTTTCATAAAAAGCCTATACCCATACAGAAATCTGATATATGGCCATATGAATGTAAATATAAAATTATAACTAATATATTTATAAAGCCATACACAATGGGCCCTATCATATACCCAGCGCAACAAGGCGCAAGGCGTGTTTGGCGTGATTTATTGCTATTTTCAGACCCGCGCAATTGTAATTTTTACATTTTGCACCACATTGTTTAAATAGCAAATCCATTTGCGCCATTTTGTGGACTTCTTCTAGAAAGAAGGTGTGTTAAGGCGCATTGTTGGCGTGTTACTATTTTGATGAACCGAAATACACCATGGCATTGACCTGTTGAAAGCTGATCTAAAGTCCAGCACAGAGTGTACTAGCTATGCACCTATGCATGTGCAAACGCCCACACATTGCTTAATGCACACAGGACATACAGCAACACAAATATTTTTGCATAAAAACAAATAAAAGATTAAAATATTACAAAAATTTTTATTTTCTACATAAATGTAAAAAAAACAACCATCTCCATGCCTTCTTCATCTCAGGGGGCTTTTTGTACAATGTATACATTTGTATAATGTTATTATTATTATTTGTATTATTTATTATATGCATATGTCTATTTGTTTTAATCAAAACAAATTTAGATTTGTCCACCTGTCGGGTGTTGGAGACGAATGCATCACCATATGGGGCATAAGAATAGGATGTCTGTTTGGATATAACTCAGTTTTTTAACCACACTTCACAATTATTGTTCGTTTACTCATTTGTTGGAAATAAAATTTAATTTAGGAATAGTTTTGGAACAAATCTTTGCACTTAACAAACAAAATTAAATATGTAGGCTAATGGATGTCTTCAGTGGAGTGAAATTTCCCTGTTTCTGTCACGTTTTAGCGTGATCAAAAACAATAAACAAAAAAAAACAGAAAGGTGCGGATCCAAGTGCAGATTATTTATTTACAGTGCAGCCAACAAGGTGATAATACAAAGTAACAAATAAACGACAAAACCAGAAACTAAATCAGAGACGAGGCTCAGGAAAAAACAAACTCAAACAACTAAACCTAATTAGAAAACAGACTAGACAAACGACACACGAACTAGACTAATGCAAACATACGAGAACAGGATCAGAAATACAAACTGGAATCTAAGACTTACTGGAGCTTGAACAAGGAAGACAAGGTAGACAACGACGCGATGACAAACATAGGTGGAATGGTAGAATATATAGTCCAGATAATCAACGGTAACACAAAACAGATGAGATGACGGGTCAGTGTAAGTGTTCCGGTGTATGCGCGTGGGATGTATGAGAATGTAGTTTTTTCCCTGGGGCACTGTAGCGCCTACAAGTCCTAGAGCGCTACAGCGCCCTCAGGTGGTCACAGACGGATGTGACATTACCCCCCCTCTAAAGAGCGGCTTCCAGACGCTCCCAGACTGGTTCCAAGAGGGGGGGCGGAGCGGAGCAGGAACAAAGGGAGGGATGGGAGGGCCAGATCAGGGTCAGGCAGTGGGTCAGGCACCCCAGCAGGAAGCCAGGGTGCGGCCGGTGAATCTGTCCCAAGTAGTGGGAAGGACCACCAGGGAGGGTCGGGAGGGATGACCCATGGATGATCCCGCAGGAGACACAAGGCAGGGGGTTTTAGGAGAGCCGGCTGGAGAGGCAACTGGACTGGAGCAGGCGGAACTGAAGGCAGCTGGGCAGGAGCCGGCGGGACTGGAGGCAGCTGGGCAGGAACCGGCGAGGCTGGAGGCAGCTGGGCAGGAGCCGGCGGGACTGGAAGCAGCTGGGCAGGAGCCGGCGGGACTGGAAGCAGCTGGACTGGAGCCGGCGGGACTGGAGGCAGCTGGACTGGAGCCGGCGGGACTGGAGGCAGCTGGACTGGAGCCGGCGGGACTGGAGGCAGCTGGACTGGAGCCGGTGGGACTGGAGGCAGCTGGACTGGAGCCGGCGGGACTGGAGGCAGCTGGACTGGAGCCGGCGGGACTGGAGGCAGCTGGACTGGAGCCGGCGGGACTGGAGGCAGCTGGACTGGAGCCGGCGGGACAGGAGGCAGCTGGACTGGAGCCGGCGGGACAGGAGGCAGCTGGACTGGAGCCGGCGGGACAGGAGGCAGCTGGACTGGAGCCGGCGGGACAGGAGGCAGCTGGACTGGAGCCGGCGGGACAGGAGGCAGCTGGACTGGAGCCGGCGGGACAGGAGGCAGCTGGACTGGAGCCGGCGGGACTGGAGGCAGCTGGACTGGAGCCGGCAGGGCATGGAGCCGGACTGGGACCGGCAAGGCAAGACGTCTGGGAGGTGCCGGCAGGGCAAGACGTCTGGATGGCGTTGGTAATGCCAGGAGCCGGGCTGGGACCGGCAGGGCGAGGAGCCGGGTTGGGGCCGGCAGGGCAAGACGTCTGGGTGGTGCCGGCAGGGCGAGGAGTCTGGGTGGCGCCGGCAGGGCGAGGAGCTTGAGTGGCGCCGGTAAAGCCAGGAGCCGGACTGGAACCGGCATTGAACTGCGCTCTGGGGCTGGAGCCGACAGGGCGAGGAGCCTGGGTGGCGCCGGCAGGGCGAGGAGCCTGGGTGGCGCCGGCAGGGCGAGGAGCTTGGGTGGCGCCGGTAAGGCCAGAAGCCAGACTGGAACTGGCATTGGACTGCGCTCTGGGGCTGGAGCCGACACTGGCGGGCGCTCTGGGGCTGGAGCCGACACTGGCGGGCGCTCTGGGGCTGGAGCCGACACTGGCGGGCGCTCTGGGGCTGGAGCCGACACTGGCGGGCGCTCTGGGGCTGGAGCCGACACTGGCGGGCGCTCTGGGGCTGGAGCCGACACTGGCGGGCGCTCTGGGGCTGGAGCCGACACTGGCGGGCGCTCTGGGGCTGGAGCCGACACTGGCGGGCGCTCTGGGGCTGGAGCCGACACTGGCGGGCGCTCTGGGACATGGGCAGTCCTCTTCCTGTGCCTCCTTCGTCTGGTGGTTTGAGAAGGGAGAGTGTTGTGATCAGGAGAGGGATCTTGCTCTGGAGCTGGAGCCGACACTGGCGGGCATTCTGGGGCTGGAGCCGACACTGGCGTTCCACACAGTTCTAGCAGGCTCTCCAGAGGCTCCGAAAAGGGTGGTCTCCGAACAGCCCGACGCGGATAAGCCCGCAACTCCAGTCCTGCCTCTCTCCTCTTTCCTTTAGTTAAATCAGCTGGCCCCGAAAATATCCCTCTCTGTTGCCATCTACTCAGGCCTCCCTCCTGAGGGTTCTCCTCCTTCAAGGCAACAGAGAGGGGGGAGCCAGCGATTAGCAAAGCCTCCTCCACAAACCGATACAGGTTCCAGTCATCCTCGTATGGCGGCATGCGTGACCGGACGGGTTCCAAAAGTCCTCCCCGAAAAAACATCATTAGCAAGATGTCACTGTGAGAGCTCTTCGCAGCTAATTGCAAAAACTCCTTTATATATCGCTCAATAGAGCGATCACCTTGTTTAAGGCGCACTATTATATTGTCTGCTGGATCCATTTATTGATCGCGTCGTTCTGTCACGTTTTAGCGTGATCAAAAACAATAAACAAAAAAAAACAGAAAGGTGCGGATCCAAGTGCAGATTATTTATTTACAGTGCAGCCAACAAGGTGATAATACAAAGTAACAAATAAACGACAAAACCAGAAACTAAATCAGAGACGAGGCTCAGGAAAAAACAAACTCAAACAACTAAACCTAATTAGAAAACAGACTAGACAAACGACACACGAACTAGACTAATGCAAACATACGAGAACAGGATCAGAAATACAAACTGGAATCTAAGACTTACTGGAGCTTGAACAAGGAAGACAAGGTAGACAACGACGCGATGACAAACATAGGTGGAATGGTAGAATATATAGTCCAGATAATCAACGGTAACACAAAACAGATGAGATGACGGGTCAGTGTAAGTGTTCCGGTGTATGCGCGTGGGATGTATGAGAATGTAGTTTTTTCCCTGGGGCACTGTAGCGCCTACAAGTCCTAGAGCGCTACAGCGCCCTCAGGTGGTCACAGACGGATGTGACAGTTTCCTTACTCTACAAAAGTAAAGAGTAAAACTAAAGTAAAGAGGCCGAACGGAGGAGACTCATTCTTTATCCTCACGCTGCGGATGCTCTGTTTAACTGTTTTCTTGCTAGTGAAGCGTTCAGTTTTTCCACTTACAAAGTCCACCATGTAAATAGCAAATGTGCCATGGCCCGACACAACTGACTCTTATAGGGAATAGGAGATGAGACTTTGATCAGTTTAATGCATGTTATGCTCTAAACACACCTATAACTCATTAAGAGGATAAGCACAACCCTGTTAGACCATGTGCCAGGGCGCAAAGTGTATTTTTCTATCCTAGAAAAAGTGGCCTTACTGTACATGCCCTTAATGCTTTTGCACCATGCTATTTAGACTTTGCCATTAGATCGTTAAAATAGAGCCCAATAAATTAACTTAACTGCACATATATATATGTAAATGTCAATCTTTGCAATATTTAAAATTTTATGTTGCAAATATGACATATTTTATAAATATAAATTAATTATATAATTTATAATTATAAATAATTATAAATTTGAAATCCG